GGGCAATTAGAAGAAATTAAACTGCGAGTTTTGTGCAACTTTATGACAAATGAAATGTCAATTTCCACAAGCACAGAAAAACTCTAAATGCTAATGGGTAATATCTCCTCAAATACCCATGCTTCCTCATCGACCAGATCCCACACAGTTGTTCTTATTCAGAGGGCAGCATTTGATAATACACTCATCCATCACACACACACACACACACACACTGTACAATGGAAGCCAAAACAAAAGCGTTTTAAATACCAGAGAGCTGACTGAGATTAGACGTGGAAGTTGAATGTCAAGACAACTGGTTGCAGTTACGACTTTCCCTCTCTGCACACGAGTGCGAGCTGCAGCGCTGCCTAATCAGGACACTGTGGAAAGAAGGGTACTTGAAAGCTCATACCCAGATTGTAGAGACCCAACAGAAACACCACTGATGTTCAGCAATAATAAATCAAGAGGTGCTTCACTATGAACACGTGAGGGAGAAAATCAACCACCAAAAATTGCAAGAAAATTACAGTCTAGTATACATAGAAAACGGAGCATGGAGCAATGTGCTTTTTTTAAGAAAAGGGGGAAATGAACAGTAATACTTACTTTTTTTTAGAGCCCAAAATGATCAATGACAGCACCTTGCATGCCATCACAGTTTTCCTCACAAGTAATTATTTGGTGTTTTGTCACAACATCATATGAGACTCTATATAATAGGACTCCAATTCAACATTTCCAATTTGAGAACATTACATGACAGGGGCCATTTGGCAAAAAACAATATTTAACATAGTCATGGCTTTATCAACACTACCTGAGTTACATTTAATAATTCTGTATTTATCAACTTGTTTTTTTTTCTGAAAAGTAACAGCCCAGAGCCATTCTTTCAAGGAGTACTTCTTGTCAGTACATATAGATCTCTCTAGTAATTAAAAGATAAAAGCAAATAGTTTACATAAAGTGCTATTAATCCACACATTAACCAAATCGTATCTTCTAGAGAAAAGAAACCTGGACGGTTCCTTCGTTATGTTGAATGAACCAATCCTGACTTGGAGATGGTGATGTAAGTGATGTCACAGCTGGCCAGTTAGCAGTTAGCAAATTTGGGCTCCCTAGACTTAATTAGATCTTTCAACATGAGCTCTTTTCCAAATAAAAAAAAATATAAAAACGGAAAAAATAAAAAATAAAAAAAAAAAATCGATGGATATATATATATATATATA